CACAAACATTTTTTTATAAAATATACTTTTTTTACTGATTTTTTACAGAAAGGAAGGGAGAGGAATAGAGAGTTAGAAACATCGATGAGAGAGAAACATCGATCAGCTGCCTCCTGCACACCCTCCTACTGGGGATGTGCCCGCAACCAAGGTACATGCCCTTGACTGGAATCAAACCTGGGACCTTTCAGTCTGCAGGCCGACGCTCTATCCACTGAGCCAAACCAGTCAGGGCTAACTGTACAGTTTTGTGGCATTAAGCACATTAACATTGTTGTGCAACCATCACCACCATCCATTTCCAGAACTTTCCATCTTCCCAAACCAAAATCTGTCACCATTAAATACTTCCATTCCCCTACCCTAGCCCCTGGCACCCACCATTCTATTTTCTGTCTGTATGAATTTGACTCCGTTAAGGACCTTATGTAAGGGGAATCATTTGTCCTTTTTTTAAAAAAAATATGTCATTTATTTCAGAGAGGAGGAGGGGTAGGAGAGAGGGATAGAAACATTAATGATGAGAGAGAATCATGGATTGGTTTCCTCCTGCACGCCCTACACTGGGATCAAGCCTGCAACCCAGGCATGTGTCCTGCCAGGAATCAAACCATGACCTCCTGGTTCATAGGTCGATGCTCGTCTACTGAGCCGTACCGGCTGGGCTGTCCTTTTGTATTTGGCTTATTTCACTCAGCATATGTCCTCAAGGTTCCTCTATCTTGGAGCCCTATTATATTGTAGCCACTCTGATAGATTGTAGTGACATTCATTGTGTTTGTAGCTTACATCTCCCCGGTGGCTAGTGATGCTGACCATCTTTTTATGTGCCTATTTTCCCTCTGTATATCCTCTGGTAGAGCGTCTTCTCACATCTTTTGCCTATTTTCTAATTGGATTTTTTTAAACTGTTGACTTTTGAGAGTATTCCAGATACTAGTCTTTTATTGGCTATACATTTTTCAAATATTTTTTCCAAATCTGGAGCTTATTTTTCTTTTCTTTTTTTTAATATATTTTATTGATTTTTTACAGAGAGGAAGGGATAAAGAGAGGGATAGAGAGGTAGAAACATCGATGAGAGAGAAACATCAATTCAGCTGCCTCCTGCACACTCCCCACTGGGGATGTGCCCGCAACCAAGGTACATGCCCTTGACGGGAATTGAACCTGGGATTCTTCAGTCCGCAGGCTGACGCTCTATCCACTGAGCCAAACCAGTCAGGGCTGGAGCTTATTTTTCATTGTCTTATCAGTGTCTTTTGCAGAGCAAGCATTCCCCCACCCCCCGTCTTTATTTTACTTTATTTATTTAAAATTTTTATTTCCCATCCATCCACCTCACCTCCCTTTTAGCAACCATTAGCTGGTTCTCTATATCTTTGGGTCTGTTTCTTTGTTTATTCATTTGTTTTGTCCTTCTAGGTTTGCATACGAGTGAACTCATATGGTATTTGTCCTTATCTATCTTTTTTATTATATTTTGCATAATAACCTAGGTCCATCCATGTTATCTCAAATGTCAAGATATCATTATTATTATTATTTTAAATATTTTATTGGTTTTTTACAGAGAGGAAGGGAGAGGAATAGAGAGTTAGAAACATCGATGAGCGAGAAACATCGATCAGCTGCCTCCTGCACGCCCCCTACTGGGAATGTGCCCGCAGCCAACGTATATGCCCTTGACCGGAATCAAACCTGGGACCTTTGAGTCTGCAGGCTGATGCTCTATCCACTGAGCCAAACCGGTTAGGGCAGATATCATTATTTTTATTGCTGAATAATAAAATTCCATTATATATATGTACGCATCTTTTTTATCCACTCAGCTATTGCTTCCATATCTTGGCTGTTATAAATAACTAGAGGCCCAATGCACAAAATTCATGCAAGAGTAGGCCTTCCTTCCCCCTGGCTGCCAGCACTGGCTTCCCTCCAGCACCCGGGACCCGGGCTTCCTCACAGCCCCAGCTTCATCCGGAAGGATGTCTGGTCTAATTAGCATACTATGCTTTTATTATTATAGATTATTATAGATGCTGCAGTGAACATAGAGGTGACTATATCTTTTTTAATTAGTGTTTTTGTTTTCTTGGGATAAATACCTAGAAGTGAAATTGCTGCGTCACATGGCAGTTCTATTTTTAATTTTGGGGGGAACCTCCATACTGTTTTTCATAGTGGCTGCACTAATTTGCAGTCCTACCAACAGGGCATGAGGATTCCCTTTTCTCCACATTTTTGCCAACACTTGTTTATTGATTTATTGATGATAGCCATTCTGACTGGTGTGAGGTGATAATCTCATTGTGGCTTTAATCTACAGCTCCCTGATGATTAGTGATGTTGAACATTTTTTCATTTGTTTGTTGTCCATTTGTATGTCCTCTTTATAAAAACGTCTATTCAGTTCTGCCTTTTTGTTAAATTGGATTTTTTTGGTGTTAAGTTATATGAGTTCCTTATGTATTTTGGATATTAACCTCTTATCAGATGTATCATTTGTGAATATCTTCACCCATTTAGTAGGTTGTCTTTTTGTTTGGTTGATGGTTTTCTTCACTGTTCAAAAACTTTTTAGTTTGATGTAACCCCATTTGCTTATTTTTCTCTTTGTTTCTCTTGCTTGAGGAGATATATCCACAAAGATATTACTGGACCAGTGTCAAAGAGTTTACTACCTATGGTTTCTTCTAGGAGTTTTATGATTTCAAGTCTTACATTTAAGTCTTAAATCCATTTTGAGTTTATTTTTGTAAATGGTTTAAGAAAGTGGTACCATTTTATTTTATTTTTCATATATCTGTCCAGTTTTCCCAGCAGCACTTAATGAAGACTGTCTTTACCTCATTGTATATCCTTACCTCCTTTGTTGTAGATTGACTGTATAAGCAAGGATTTATTTCTGGACTTGCTATTCAACATTTTTTAAAATTGATAATTCCTACTTACCAAATTTTCCCTTTATGAGTCATGATTTTGGTGTCAAGTTTAAGAACTCTTTGCCTAGCCTTAGATCCCAAAGATTTTCTCTCATTATTTTTCCTTAATTTTTATATTTTACACTTAAATCCATGATCAGTTTTGAGTTAACTTTTGTATAAAGCATGAGGATTTTGGCTGAGGTTCATTTGTTTGCCTCTAGATGTCCTGTTGTCCAGCACCATTTGTTAAAAACACTCCTTCCTCCATTGAATTGCTTTTGCACCTTGGCTAAAGTCAGTTGGGCATATATATAAGATTTATTTCTGTGTCTTGTGTTCTGTTCAGATTTATATATCTATACCATATAGGTTTGATTACTGTATTGTATAATCTCGAAATTCAGTAGACTGGTTACTCTCACTATTCTTTTTCAAAATATTATTTTCTCAAAATATTTGAGCTATTTCTAGTTCCTTTGCCTTTCCATATAAATTTTAGAATAATCTTGTCTCTATCTACAAGAAAAATGTTACTAAGATTTTGATAGGAATTGCATTAAACCTGTATGTTGTTTTGGGGAGAATTGACATCTTTACTATGTTAATTCTTTCAGCTCACACACATGGTGTGTCTCCCCATTCATTTACTCTTCCTATGATTTCTTTCATTAGTTCTCAACATATGAGTCCTGCACATGTGCTTTTAGAATTATACCTAAGTATTTTTGTGTGTGTTTTTGAGCAACTGTAAATGGTATATTTTTAACTTGTGTCATGCTAGTTTATAGAAATGCAGTTGGTTTTTAAATGTTTATCTTGTATCCTGTGGCCTTGCTGAACTCACTTAACTAGTTTTAGGAGTCCTTTATGTAGAGTCATTAGGACTTTCGGTCTATTTAGTCATGTCATCTGCAAATAGGGACAGTTTTGTTTCTTCCTTTGTGATCTGTATACTTTTTATTTCTTTTTCTTGCCTTATTGCATTGTCTAGAACATCTAGTACTATCTTGAATAGGATTGGTGAGAGCAGGAATCCTTTGCTTGTTCCCAATCTTATGGGGAAAGTGTTCAGCCTTTCACTATTAATTTTTATCTTAATGGTAGTTTTCCCCCTAGATGCTCTTTATCAAATTGAGGAAGTTCCCCTCCTATTTTTCTGAGAGTTATTATATTGAATTTTTTCAACTGCATGGATTGATATGATTATGAGATTTTTCTTTTTTAGCCTGTTAATATGGTAGGTTACATTGAGTTTTTTAATATTGAGCAAGTCTTGAATTCCTGGAATAAACTGCACTTGGTCATGGCATGTAATTCTTTTTATATGGATTCCTGAATTTTCTTCTAATTGCTAATATTTTGTTAAGCATTTTTGTGTCTATATTGAGGGATATTGGCCTGTAATCTTTTTTGGTGCAGTCTTCATCTGTCTTTGGTATTAGGATAATAAAGCGTCAGAAAATGAATTGGAGAGTATATCCTGTTCTTCTGTTTTTTAGGGAGGTGTTAGAATTGGTATTAATTTTTCTCTAAATTTTATATATAT